CCCGCCTGCAGGGCACGCCCCCAGTCCCGCCTCCCGGCCCCCTGCACTGCCCCCTGAGTGCGGGTGCCGGGTCCAGGTGGACACGGGGAGGAGCCGGGTCCCAGGGAGGCGGTGCCTGGGTGGGGTCAGCCCAGTGGTCTGCGGCTGACGGTGGGCCCAGGTGCAGCGGGTCAGCAGCCAGAGGCCGTGGCAGAGCCGCAGGGGGCCCCTGAGCGCCCCCTGAGCTGAGACTTGGGGGACAAGTAGGTGTCGGTGGAAGAGACAGTAGACGATGCAGTCTGTGCAGACACCGGGTAAAACGCTTTCAAAGTCTGGGAGTCCTGCGGGGTGCATCTTCCAGTAGGTACAGGCACCCCTGAGTTCTTTAAGCAAGGACCTGGCCGGGAACGATCAGAGCCTTGGGTGGGGAAAGTGATGAAGAAGGATGGACAGATGGACAGATGGTGACGGACGGCGGGAGAAGAGCGGCGCGTGGGTGTGCGGACGGTGGGGGTGGGGTGGGGTGCTGCGTGGTCGGGAGTGGGGACAGATGTTGGAGAGGACGGACAGATCTGCTTGCTGAAGCGAAAATGCCAGTTCCCAGCCTGCAGGGTTCTGACGCCGCCCTGGCCCCTGCCCGGCTCGCCCGGCCCGGCCCGGCCCTTTCTGGGAATGTCTGCAGCTGCGGAGACTCTCCCCACTCTGGGGGGCGGGGCAGCCGGGCTGGGAAAGGTCACCGAGCTGGCTCTTTCCCACAGCCCCAGCGTGGGGGGCGGAAGGATTCTCCCGCGGGGCCGTCGTTAGAGTGGGTCAGTGCCGTGAGCAGCGGGGGCAACATGGGAACGTCCCCCCATCCACCTTGGCCTCCGGGCTCCAGACACAGTCCTTGTTTCCCCAGAATCTGGGGTGCTTCGCTGGGTTTGCGTGCAAAGCTTAGCACCCCGCTCCGAGACTGCCACGGCGCGGGGGTGGCTTCCTTCTGGTTGATCCGGTGGCCAGACCAGTGTCCTGTACACAGACCCTTCGAGTCTCCAAGGAGCCCTGAACCCATTTTCTTTCTGAAAGCCGGGGTTCTGTCGAGAGCTGCGTTCACGGGGGGCTGTGCGGGAGGTCAGTTCAGGGGCAGGCCGTGCAAATGTCAGTCTTCCCCCGGCCCCCTAAAATCCCTAGACAGACTCAATTCAGGGGGCGAGCGGCTGAGGGCGCTGGGCACTCGGTCTCCGGGCTGGCCCCGCGGTCCTGTGCCCACGGTGAGGTTCCGAGGGCGCTGCGCTTCCGTGAAAGGAGTGTCTCAGCTCCGTGAGGCCTGCGCGTGCTGGCTGAATGAGAAGGTTTTCACGTCGTCGACGGGACCTGGCCCGGCGCAGGCCTGTCCGCCGCAGTAAGGCTGCAGAGCCGAGTCTGGGCCGGAGGACCCCGCGACTCCCGGGGCGAGCCAGCTGGCCCCTCCTAGGCGACCTGCCTGGCCGGGGAGACAGCGGGGCCTCTCTTGCTCAGCCTCGTTTGATCGGAAACTGGGGATTCCAGAACCTGCAGACAAAGGCAAAAGATGGCTCTTGGTGACCAGGTGATATTCAGAGAAGACGAAAGCGACCGCCCAGTTTTATTTAGACGCCACAAAGCTGACAGCGGCAGATGCAAACACTTTGAGCCGCTGCAGCCGAGTGAAGTGAGACAGCCCCGTTTTGTCTTTATTACCAGGGCGTACGTGGGGTGTGTTCTCCAGACCGCACCCGTGAGCCCCTGGGGTGCGTGGCTTCCTGCCTGACGCCCTCGAGCCCACAGCTTTGCTCTGCAAAGGGCACGTTACAGAGCAGCAGCGCAGGATGGGCCTGTCTGGGGCGCGAGGCCGCCGGGAGTTCAGCACGTTGTCCTGGCTGAAGCCCCGGGAGGCCCAGGTGTCCACGCTCGGCAGTCAGTCGCATGCGCCCAGGCCGGGCGGCGTGGCTTCCCTCGGCTTGTGGCTTCAGAGTGGACCCGTTGGCAGTGGGCAGTCTGATTCCCGAGCACACGCCCAGTACCGTTAACCTGGTGCCAGCTGGAGCGGAGAGGCAGGACGCCTCTGCGGGTGTGTGGCCTGGCCGACGGGCCCTGGCCAGTCTCCCAGGCGCTCGTCACTGGCTTGCTGTGGAGGGCAGGTAATCCCAGGCAAGGGTGTGTCTCCCCTCTCCCGTTGCTTCCTCTATCACTTTCATCTGACCACCTGCAATTCCCAACAATCAATTGCTTTGATTCCTCAAAGGTGGGGTCCTCCCTGAGGGTGTAGGGGGTTGAGTCTCAGCACGACCATGACAGCCCGAGTCCATCCCCAGCCAGGGAGGGACCCCCAGGGTGCAGCAGGCCTCTCCTGTCTCCCACTGCTCCCCTCAGCAGTGTACTGTTCTGCTCCCCACTCTGTCTCTGGGGAATCCTCTCACCACGCACCTCTGGCCTGCACCCCAGTTCTGTGTGCATACATAAATCAAAGCAAATCTTAAAAAATAACCAGGCTGACGCCTGAGCGCAGCCTGAGCCCTGCAGAGCCTCCCTGTGAACGAGGGGCCAGCGCCCATGGCTTGCACTTGGCTGAGCTGTGTGGCGTGAGCGTGCACAGTGGCCTCCGTGGTCTTCCTCACGGGGCCTGTCAGCCTCTCTCAGTCCCACCATCCTGCCGCAGAGGTGACCCGCTGGTCAGCGACCGCCCTGGGCGCCGAGGGCGTCTGGCGCC